AAAAGTCAATGGTAAAACAGGAAATAAATTTTGTACAAAGTTTTAGATTAAACAAGAATTTACCAAAAATTCTTATAACAAAGTATCTACTACTTAGGCAATAACTCATGGCAACGTAGAGTGAGGAACAATTACAATTTACATGTTCATACACACAGGTAACAAAAACATAATCATGACAAAATATAACTCATAGTCTAGGCTTATTATCTAGAAGAGAAACAAAACAGGAAATTTTAGTTTCAAATCCGACAGTGAAGAGATGAGATCTATTTCCAATCTAAACACAGCTTTTGAATTTGAGAAGACTTGACATGCAAGTCAAGTGATCAAATAATTAATTTAAGCTTGGTATGATTGTAAAGCACACAATGTGGTAAAGTCAATTCTTCAGTCTTAAGAAAAGCATTTCGGTAAATACTAAATGATGGTTAAGAATAGAACCATTATCACAAAAGGTAAATAGGCAGTCAATCACTGTCATCACTGGGAAAGAAAGTAAGGATTAGGCCACAAAAAGATGTTAATGGTAATGATGTGTACAGCAATGAGAAAGGGAAAAATAAAGACTTACGCATCAATTGCTTCTCTCAAAAATTTAACAATAGTTTCTTTACGGCTTTGTGTTTTGAATTCAACTGTAACTGGGTAATATTGGTCCTTGTTGTTGGCAACCCATCCTGAATACTAGAAAATAATTAACATTAGGGAAATGTTAAGCTTTGCTTGAGAGAAAGCAGAGAGCAATTACCGTCGAGGTATTTTTGTACAAAGTCTGGCCATCTTGTTCGAAATGAGTATACTTCTGAAGCAGAGCTTTGCCGTCAATTCTCCAAATTGCTGGCGTCCTTGAGGCATGAAAATCTGGCTTGGGGACCACAAAAGCCCCAGACTGAAAGTAGACAAGGGATTAGAAAATTAGTAGAATTGTAATAGTATGGAGGAGAAGACATTACATCAAAACGTTTCCATACAGTGAATTCTTTGGAAATTTTGGAGGCAGAATCGTTTTGTTTTTTGGATGTGCTTTCATTTGGTGACCGTTTTGATTTCACTTTCCCTTCAGATACTTCTTCGATTTTGGATGCTGTCTGAAGACTTGATTTTTTTTTAGCAGGTAGAAAACGTTTTCTGACATTCTTACTCTTGGATGACTTCTCTTCCATAAAATCATCATCACTCTCCAGGTTTTCATCCTCATCACTGGTAGTTATTATTTCAACAAGCTTTGGTCTTTTGCCTTGAAGTCTTGTCGATGATCTCCGTCTAGGCTAAGAAAAAGAAACTACAATCAAAACTTGCACTTTAAGAGTGTTTTTCTTATTTACTATGGTATTACATTTTTTAATAAATGTTCACTTACTTCTGATCCTTCTGATGGACAGTTTTCATCTTTGGTTTTATTCTTTGATGTCTTGTCTTCCCTTAAAACAATGATGTCAGGTTCATCATCTTCCTCATTAAGAGGATTAGCAATCTCTTCAGAACTGTTGCTGGTGTTGCCGCTTCCCTTATCAACAGCAACCTGACCGTTTGTTTTATTATTATCTAAATCAACACTACCCTCCTGATTTTTGATCTGTCCATCACATGTGTCTTCACCCTCCAAGCCTCCGACTTTTTGAGTTTTCTTCATTTTAATAACCGTCGACTAGATCAATAAAACTTAGGCAATGCATGCAATGCATGTCAAATCAAATTGAATACTCAGTACTCGGTAATTTCAGTAGAAAGATGGGGTTAGGACGTTTGGAGTCAATCGAATCACTCTTCGATTTGTGCCCCGCAAGAGAGGAACGTTTCGAAGTTTACTACAAGGCACTAGGTGACGATACGGACATAACCTTTTCTTTGCCGAAAAGTCTGAACTTATTACGCTTGACATTTTGTTTTACTAATTTATTTTCACTCTATCAGTTTAAGAATGGCAACGAAAACAAAGACAACCGAAAAGAATGGCTCTAATGGTGCTAGTACCATTAAACAGCCAGCACTCGAATCGGTGTGGGTTAGAGCATTCAAATCTGAGTCTGAGTGGCCCGACAAGGTATGTTTACCACGTAATAATGACCCTTAAATTTTACTGACATTAATATTCGTACATTCGTGGATCGGTTTTCAGAGAAATTGTCTCAAATGCCTTCTTGAGCTTCTCACTCTCTTATATTTTCACCATGAACATTGATGTTCTGAATCCATAATTAGTTCATTGTCTAACATTTCAAACTGTTCATTTTTCAGGAGGAGTTCTTAGATGTTATCTATTGGGCTCGACAGTTCCTTGGTATTGCTGTTGGTATTTTATGGGGGCTCATCCCTCTTAAAGGTTTTGTTGCTTTACTCCTGTAAGTTGAATGTTGTTCTGCCTGAGAGAGTGTCTCACTTTCAATTATGTTTATATCTTATTCATTAATTAATAATTAATAAATGTTCTTAATCTTTCCCAGATTTGCTTTGGTGAATGCTGGTATTGTCTACATGTACTGCACTAGCTTTCAGAAGGTTGACGAGGAAGAGTATGGAGGAGCATGGGAGCTAACGAAAGAAGGATTTATGACTTCGTTTGCAGGTTTTCTGGTAAGCCTCCTTGCTGACGGAGCATAATAATAATTATCTTGGTCATAATTAATTTTACATCTGTGCTACAGGTCACATGGATCATTTTCTACACCGGTCTTCATTCAGAAGGCTTTAGAAAAGATTTATAGTGGTAGAAGGTCGGGGGAAATCTGCCAACCAAAGAAGAGTCAGGTACAAAGTGCATCTCTGAAATTATTCTCCTTTTTTTGAATATACTTATCTACTAAGAGTGTTTACTACATGCTCAAACTGTTAAGTTAAAACTCATATTGAGTCCTTTTGTAAAGAGCTGATCACTGTCCCACTCATTTTGTGTACTGTGGTACTGACTGTGTCATATATTTGTTTGTACTGTCTACGTTCACTCATATCATATGATTTCTTTTGCCCTCATTGCATGAAAGGTGATGATATTGTGTAATACTGTAGTTACTGTTTGTAGAATTGCGTTTGTGTTACCGTAGTTTGTGGTCTACAAGTAACTAGAAATTTCTTTGTATCTGTATATTTTGTATATCTACTTTGCAAGAGTCTAATTGCAGTTTAGTTGTGGGCATGTACCATTTCAGGATGGGATAAAGTAAAGGAGGTGAAAAGAAATTTCACAGTATTTATTATAACTTTGCGTAGGTTATATTTTAAAGGAGAAATAATTGTTGGTCAGCAATTGAATCACTCAAAATTATTACTACCACTCAAATTTTAATGGATTTCATTCTATTTCTTTCTTTACTTCATACTTGCCAACCTGAAAGGGCTTGTGTTTTTGTGGTTTCCCTGAATTTTGACAATTACAGCCAAGAGATTTGTCATATTGGTGGATATGGTAATCTATCCACACTCCTATTTATACTGTTGCATTTTCAATTTTTTTAATATTTCATGTTATGTTCTATATAAATTGTTTAAAGTTAAGTATGGTTAACCATACATGGATGAAAGACTGCTACTCAGTCCAAAATTTGTACAATATTTGTATAAAATTTTATTCACATCTATCTATGTGGTTTTTTGGTAATTGGGTTCCTACACATTGAAACATGTATGCGTTCAGTCTTCTGTTTTCGCACCCTTTAGTAATTTCAAGTGGTTCAAAGCTTGCTTGATCCGACACCTGCTCTGTGTTGGTCTTTGAAGGCTTTTACTGCATACCGGGCTGTTCCTGGGGCCGCCGTGATGCCGTAGCCGCCATGCCCGTAGTTGTGCACAATCTGAGGCCGAGAGGTCAAGAGAGGTCAAAATTTGTCAACTTTAAGGTGCAGCAGTCACGAAGGTAAGGCTTACGGTGAGCTTGTCCTCGCGCTGAGCCTTGTCGGCCTCGACGCGGACGGGACAGCGGTAGGGCCGCAGGCCGACCCACTGGCGCTGCACGCGGGCGGCCTGTAGGCTGGGCACCGCGCGGACGGCGCGCTCCCAGATGCTGGCGCTCTCGTACGGGTCCACCTCCAGGCTGGAGTTGCCGAGCCACCGCGACCCACCCACTGTCACCTACGGCGCCCAAGAGAAAAGCTGTGTTCAGGAAAGAGGGTCGACGAGCAGCCGACCATACCAGCCCCAGTGTAGCACCTGGTTGCGGTTGGGAAAGATGTACGTGTCCCGGTCAAAGCATGTGAATGTCTTGATCCACGGCGCCGTCACCTGTGGGCCCCCAAAAGAAGTCTTCAACTCTGCCGTTCTTTGCTCTAGTTTTCCTAGTTGTCCCACGGCCTCACCTTGTAGACCTGGCCGCGCAGGGGGATGACGGTGTAGTCGCCGCACAGCTTGGCCGCGCCGAGCCCCGTGCAGTTGAAGACCACGTCGAAGTCCTCCGACAGGTCGTCGAGTCGCGTCACGCAGCGACGCTGGATCTTGCCGCCAGCAGCCTGAATCCTGCTCAGCGCGGAGAGGAACGAGTCCAAGCGCTCTAGGATTTATGAACCACTTAACGGCAACTGGGCGAGTCCCACCTGTTAAGCGCCCAGGGCAGGAAGTAGCGGCACTCCACGAGCAGGGTGCTGGCGAACGAGCCGAAGCGCGCGCCGCCCGGGAGCAGCTGCAGCTCCTCGTCGGTGGCGTCGCGGTACTCGGGGCACACGCCCTCCATCAGAGGGTTCCACACCTTCCCGCGGCTCTCGTTGGAGAAGAAGTACCCTGTGAGCTCCCCCACCCCAGCCGCGCGCCCCTGGTCCGACCAGCACACGGAATTGTACCAGTCGAACGAGTCACGAATCCATTGTCTGGAGACAACCCACAAATACAAACGGATAAAATGTGTGCCATGCACCGGGTGTGTCTTTGCATGCGCTCTTTGCGGGTGTGCCTACCCCCTTTACCCTCATAGCGCGTGCCCCCTGTGGCCTCAACGAGCTTGTAATCCCGCAAACTGCGCCCATGTGCAAAGAAACGCCCAGTACATGCCTATCCTTAGGGATCGTCCAGAAAGCACGCATGTTGGTTCTGATTCATTCGGCAAGCTACGGGAGCTCGTCTCGGCGCCTGTGAGACTCGGGGTAGGCCACCATACAGTACACGCATGCACTGCAGACATGATGTTGCCTACCTATCAGGCGCTTCAGGGTCTTGCACGCACATACTGACTTGCCAGTTGCGAATGACAAGTGTGTTTTCTGGGTGATCCCTAATGATTGGCCATTTTCCTTAGACGGGGAAAGGTCGTGGAAGGGAAAGGTCCAGGAAGTCTCCTCCATTCCTCTTCGTCTTCCCTTCCCTTATCGCTTGGGCCAATGGGCAATTTGGGCCAGACACCACTCAACAGCAGTTGCATTACTTTACTATTACTTTGTAACGTCGAACGAGGGGCCCGCGAAGTAGGTGGACGGGAAGAAGAAGCCTGCCGCGCCGTCGCCTGTCGTCTCTTCGTTGAACTTGTCGGCCAGGATGGTGACGTCCAGCGAGGCGCCCAGTTCCCGCTGCAGCTCCAGCGCCGTGTTGAGGCCCACCACGCCCGCGCCCACCACGCACGCCCTCATCCTGCTCTCGTCACCTTTCGTGCGCGATGCTTACAGCGGCTGGACCTGCACACTGTCGGAAACGACCGCAACGTCCAATGCCGAGATGGGGTGCTTCTTCACAGGAGTTATCTCATGGCCTAAGCGCCGACATACCAACTCCGCGCTTGTTCGCCACGACGCAGTAAGACTGTCGCTGCTCAGGAGGCGAGACGCCGAGAGACTCTCACTCCCGTATGCACGACGCGTCCCCGCCGATGCCGACCGCTGACCGCCGCTGACTGCTGGTGTCACCATGGTGTCACTGGCCACAGAGGGGCTCGTCGTAAACCGCTGACCGCCTCCCCTTCCGCAGGTTGGCAGCACGCGGCGGACGGGCTTAAATGACGCATACAAATAAATAACTAGATGAAAATTTTATTTACACAATTACATCAAAGTTAATATATAGGAAACCCAAGCGCTTGGCTTTCCAGCAGGTATCTTGCGTTTGTCCTTATGTTCTATGTTTATTTAAAAATCGACGAATTTGTTTGAACACAAGAGCGGAAGGTGTTACTCGACCCGGTAAAATGTGGCAGCATTGTTTGATTTAAAATTATCTGTTTGAATTTTTTTTTAAAGGGGAAAGGCACAAAATTTAACATTTATATAATTGGCTCATTATTTTCTTTGCTGGTATTCGTTTATTATTCCTCATAATCAATTCACTAGTTAATAAACAACTGCAAAACAACAGAAAACAACAATTCTTTCTCTTAAGTACACAAAATCAATCTGGAACATGTATTATACATTTACAATTAATAAAAGTAAGAATGAAGATAGAATTATTGTCTCCCCCATAAATCAAGTTAAAAACTAATTCTGAGTCCCAACCTTTTGTTTATTATTCCTCAAATAGTCCTTATTCCTTGAAGGCACATTTCTTTTGAAAACATTCCCCACAACAAAATGGATTGATCCTGATCAAGATATGTAAAACCTTATCACAGTAAAGCCTAAAACAGAGGCACCAAGCATGAGTAAATAAAGCTGCCCCCACAGCAAAAAGTAATCTCCACACTTTTTGATGAATACATCTTCACAAATTAGTTTCAATATCATGGAATGAAGCTAAGATCACAATCTTAATGTGCATCATCACAGGTAAAGAAATAAAACAGTAAAAATCCCAGTCTTTGAAACTTAATTAAAAATAACCTGATAAATATAACTTTACGGCAAAAATAGGGAATATCATTTCTAAGTGAAATATCTTGTCATTAACCATATAGCATCACAGAAATATCAAAGAGGAATAACAAAACTTAATATTCATGTTGAAAATTATACATACACTGTGTGCATGCACTGTCTACACACACTTGCAGTCTCACTCAGCATAAAAATCTAACAGAACGTAAACAGATTGGTTCGTAATAAAAACAACTTCATGGTTAATAGTTAAAATTTCTCTAAATTCATAGTTCAACACACATACAGTTTCTTGAAAATATTGTGAGTATAATCAAACCATCATTAATTAATTTCCCTAATAGGAAATTCAATTTAAAAATCTATATATCCTACAATAGAGATACTGGAAGTAATACTTTTTATGAATTTGACCCAGTCTACTTTACACACACAAACTCCTCTACATCTCAAACCCAGCATGTGTAATAAATTACTTTTTCCGAAATAGACTGGGTAGACCTGGCTGATTTGTCACGTTTTTAGGCTGAAACATCTTGCTCATTCGCTGTCTCATGTCCTCCACACCTTGATTCATATTTGCTGTTGCCGATGCAAGACTTCGGCTTGTTCGTCTGTTGAATGATTGCAATAAATCAATTACTAATAAAGGTGTAAATGCAGCATGAGACTGTAAAATGTACTTACCTCTCCTCTTGACGAAAAGGGGAAGCATCAGACCTTGATTCAACTTCCCTAATCATTGCCAAAATTGTTTCCCGGTGAACTGGTTGCAGTTGTTGACTGATCTGTTCCAAATATCTACATGACAAATATAGAAAAGTTTAATTTTGATAGAATCTGTTTTGATTAATACAGCCCTTTGATGTCAACGGCAAGAAATTATCGCTAATGCAAAAGAGAGATACATATGGATATATAGAAGACACTTTCTCTTACCGTAATCCTGGAAGAACAGCAGTCGTCAATATAGATGCTGGGAAGGGGATGTAAACAGCAGCAGAGAAAGCCTCTGTTAAGGCTACAGCCAAGTCCAGGCGTCTAGTGAGATTTTGAAGCTGAGAAGCATAAGCAGCTAATGCTGCAAGCTGGGGCATAATAACTGTAGGAATGAAACAGAATATATTAGATAACAATATAGGTATACTAGATACAAGATCCATACAACACATGACAGATAAAATTATACAAGACCTGCAAAACTAGTAACTAACCATCATCTCTGAATGAAGTATCACAAGATGATACAACCTGACCAAGCGTACACACAATCTGAAGGAGGAGTGGATGACTATCTCTGGTAACCGGATCAGATAATAAACTTTGCAACTGAAAGCAAATTTTCTCTTTCACCTAGTAGAGGCACAAGAGAAAAATGAATTATGGCTTTAAACTGTAACGTTTATTAGTTTGTTTGTTTTTTAAATTTAAAACTACCTACATTTGATGCTTACCTCTTTTGTGGATGTGCTTACTATTAGCTTTCCAAATGTTGGTATTGCAGCGGCTTTTACAGACCTATAATTTGGAGTATAGAATAAACAAAATAAAGAAATAAAATTTCTTTTAACTAAAGAGCGATTATAAAAAAAAAATATTCTGACAAAACTCATTGCATAAAACTACATAACAATAATAGATATAAAAAAAACTCTTACACATCCGGATCACTTGCAAGAGTGACCAAAGCAGGAGCTACTCTGGCTGAAATTAGTGTTTCCGGCACTAATCCTATGACAGCAGCAAACAAAGTAGCAGTTGAACACCGCACAAGAGCTCGTTGCGAAACTACTCCTGAAATTTAAAGGAATGTCCACATCAAACTGCACGTAAGAAATCAAAAATAATTTTTTCTCTAGTTACCTTCCCATAAAGTTGCTATAACTGCTTCATGAACATTCTCTTTTTTGGAACCACAGATGGCAGATATTGCAGCTTGCAAACCGTCAATGGGAACACTTCCAAACTGATTTGGTGCATTTGAAGAACACAAAGGTAGAGCCATCAAAAATCTCCGCAAAGTGCTGCGCAATTCTTCTGTGTCAGATTCTGACTGCAAAAAAAAAATATTTTTTTTAAATGTCTGAGGTCATGATTAGAAACTACCTAAATAGATACTTGAACTATACTGTACCTGTCCACTTGCTACAACACCAGCTAGGTATACAACAAGAACAGATAGAGATGGCCATGCAGACTTCTGATTGGATCCTGCTACTTCAACAAGAGTTTGCTCAATTTCTTGAAGCTTTGACACAAAAACTGGTTTAACCTGCCCACCAAAGACAACAGTTCGATAATATCTCAAAAGCTCTTTTAGAACTTTTTAAAAAACATTGGGGTTATAGTCTACCTGTTTAGATACAAAAATAGGTCCAAATCCAGAACACATATAACGGAAAAAGCTAACAAAAGCATTTAGCAGTTCTTCTTGAGAAATAGTTACATTACAAAGGACTTCAATTAGTGCTGGAAGCCTGCAAAATGGTTAAATAAGAATATGAATCATGAACTTACATATAAAAGCTCCATTTACTGATCATGCTTCAGTACAGGTATTTATACCAACATTTTATCAGAGATCCACAACAGCTCAGGCCAAGAAGATGATGGATCCAAGTCTTTCAGAGTGGCATCAAAAGCAGCTATTATCTGCCCGACAGTAATGCTACCGTGGTGAAAAATCAAAGGGTTGGAAAGACCCCGGCATAAATCAGAGAAGCCAATTCCTGAGGAACAAATTAAAATGATAAAATTACTTTACAATCCAGAAAAAAAAGGAAATCCTAACTGAATAAAAACAAGGGAGAAAGAAACACAAATTAATTTTGCACTAAAGTGGTACTTGTTTTTTACACAGTCCCTGTTACACTCTGTGCTGTTTAGTAAGGACGAGTGGTTTACTCAGTGCCATATATTTGTAAAAGTCTACATAGGTAATAGTAAGAGCGGGGCGGGGGGGAATGAGGCCTGTACACTGAACAGAGCCATAGGGTGGCCGGCTCAGTGGCCGGGGGACTGAAGGGGACTGAAAACCCTCAAGATTTTTGTCAAGAGTTCTCAAGATAATACTAATAAATGAGAAAAAAGTTAATTGTTGAAATAGACAGCAAGGTTCCTAATTTTTCCTATGTTTGTAGTAGCTCTTGCGTCTTCTGAGATTAAAATGTCCACCAATAAGCTAGTTTACAAACTTAGGATAAATATCTGAAAAATTTGTAAAGAGTTCTCAAAATGATACAATTAAACCTGAAAAAAAGTTCATTGTGTTAATTGGGACCAGTGTTTCTGCTGTACAATGACACTACTATCATGTCTGGAGGAGTTGTGTGTTCTGAGATGAAACACAGGACAGTTGAGAGGTTACACTGCACTGAGAACAATACTCGTTCTGTCTACCATCAAGTAGGTGTTGGTAGGATGCTCAAGAGTGAATAACAACAACAAAAAGTTAAAATATTGCCCACATACTTGACTGCGGTGCTGGAAGGTCAGGTGAGATTCTAGCAATAACTGATCCAACATTTGCAACGGACAACACTAGATATGGCAAAATTGCTGTAAAGGCTGCAGTGGCATTTAAAGCTGCTTGAAAAGTTTGACCAGGAGAAGTTGAGATGGCTGATGGACTTCGTGGCGAATCAATGGGCTTCACCTGTATTGACAGAATGAATCACATAAGTTGTGAAAATGCTCTCTGTGAAGCAGAATGGCTATGAGTAATAGGCAGACCTGAAGTTGTAGAGAGAGCTGATTCATCAGTCTAATTAAAAGACTTGACTGGAACCGTCCACTAGTGAGTGCCCAATGTGCCACCACAGGAAGGAGAGTTTGGTTAAGGCACTGAATGACAGTAGATGATGGATCACTGATACATGATATGACAAGATCTTCACACTGAAAGATACAAAAGCAAATCTCGACATTTTTCCAAAGGAAAGAATCAAAGAATTATAATTTCTTTTGCCACTGCTATTACTACCTGAGAATACTTATCGCAGTCTGGACTCATTGCAGCAATCAATGCAGTTGACCGAACAACTGCAGCTCGAACTGTTTCCTCACGGTCTTCAGACAACATTTGTTGCAGCATTGAAAGCATTAAAGAGTTCCGAATGGCTCCCTGTACAAAATACATTTTTAAGAATATTCTTTGCCGACTTAATAATATCTTTAGGAGGAGACTGGATTCAACTAAAATTAATCACTTACAGTTACAAATGGAGCGAGAATTCCACATGCTTCAGCTACAAGTAGTCTGCGCTCAACATGTCTATGACTCATTTGCTCCCAACATTGCGGTAGAACTTCATTCTCCACTTGTACAGCTTCCATTCCTCGAGCAACACATAACAAACCTGTAAAAAATATACCATTAAAAATACATGAAAACAAAATTAATGCGACTTTCAGGGAAATAAAATAGAGGAGCCTACCAGCAAGAATGAGACACCGTTCCTCAATATCGGGACGCTTTTTCAGATTAAAGAGCTGATGTAAAAGGGAATCTCTCTCTTTCCCATCCACATTTAGCCTCACTAAAGCTACAAGTAGAGGTATCACTTCCTGAGAGGTTTAGAAATTCAGTTACTGAAATGTATCATTTTTGGTAAAGAATAGAGAAAAATAAAATAAATACAAACCTCTCTTTTGTTTAGAATAACACAGGGTAAGAGTTTAAGAACAGTCTTAGCAAAAATATCTATTAGTAATTTATCAGTAAGTCCAGTAGGACCTCTTAGCTCAGAGACCTTGTTTAGCATTTGTAAAATGTGCTGGTGGCTCTCAGGAAAATGTGAGGTATCCACAGTACAACTAGATAACACCTCCTGACAAAAAGCTGCCGATAAGGACCTACAAAAGATTTTTCTTTGGTGAAACAAAGAGCAAATAATAATAATAATCATAATAATTACTTAATACAATATCTCATGACACAGAGAGGAAAAGATAAATAGATGAAGTACTGTACAGTACCTTTCAAAGCCAATATGCAATGATTCTGAGTTTATAGTTGAGGGTAAACTTTTAGATTTACCCTGAGTAATGCCTTGACTAGCACTCAGGCTAACTGGAGTCCATTCTCCGTCTGTCATGCGCTCCTCATCTTCCATTATTAAACCTCTTGTGTCACTTGCTCCACATGCTGAACCAGAACCTGATCCTGACTGTGAATCAGATGTTGTAACTTTAACTGGGTCAGGAGTGGACATTGTAACTGAAGCCCAATCAATATCAGCTGATATTTGATCTTCCTCATTAATAGTTTGCTGTAATTCTATTGGAGAATAGAAATAGTATTATTATTTCATCAATCATATGCAAGATAGTAAAACATAACATACAAGCATGTCTCACAAATGCAGGGGCAGATTAAGGTCGGGG